TGCGGCTCCATGTCCAGATTGTTGTGGTTGAAAACCAAATGTTTGCATACAACTGATGCTTATTATATTTGAAAAGGATTGTCTGAAGAATAATGAAGATGCCCATAGAAAAGTTTGTTAAGACCCAAAATCTAAATGGGCATTAAGATATCTTTAATACTGTACATCTTGAGTTACAGCCATGCAAACTTTGGAGAATAAAACGGCTAAAGTCAACAGATTTACTATTAGACCTATCTCTATGTAAAAATAAAATAATGATGCTGCCATCTTTCTAAAGTCATTTTTATCCCCGGTAATTTTGACTCCGAATCTAAGGTGAAAATTGCTATTTTGGCCCCCCTCTACAAAATAGTGGATTACTCCGTAAATATACTTCCATGGCATTTAATAGTTTGGCTTTCTTCACTATACATGTTTATCTTTCTTCAAAAAGTTTTGGACAGAATTAAAAATTTGAGCCAGGGACCACTGGTTGAGTTGAGACGTTCCGACCCACATGTTTTTTTATGGTATTGGTATGGTGCTGGACTTACAATAAGGAATGGGAAGATGAATCCAAGCATTGTGAATCCTAGCCAGCGCAGGAAGCCGGTAAACACAAATGCAGCCGGGCGGTATGACTGGATGAAGATCTCATTGACGAGTGATGGGGCTACTCCAGCTGTTCAGATCAAACTGGTTTGAGTTGTTGGCACTGGCTAGTCAGTTTATAATGAATGTAGTATGTGCTTATCATAAGCAATATAAATGTTGTAGAATACTGTTGTTTTGAACACAGCAGCATGATTGCAAGAGCAGTATTGCTTATACAACAGGAAGTAAATATAGCTTTGCTATATATGCTTTGTTTCTGTAAAGGCGTGTTGTGCATGAGAAGCTGCAAAATAACATGCACTATGGTGAAATGAAAATGAAATTCAAAAAAGCGTTTTGTGTGCACAGCCCCTTATATACAGTACTGTTATTGTTGCTTTTGGAATGCCATGTGACCAATCAGATTTAAGGATTGAAACGAAATGTTGTATAAATATTTCAATAGTTTACCTGGGCCTCCCCCATAGGAAATAAAGAACAGGAAAATGAGGATGACAGTGGTGTATGGAATCACAGAGCTGTAGTCCTGAAGACAAAACAGAGATAAGGTAATAAATTCTGTTTTGATCGCTGTGAGCTGTTAAATGATAGAGACTCACCTTTAGGTACAGGGTGACAGTGATTAATGCCATAATGACCGACATTCCCCCAAACCCTCGCCACATCAAGGCTCTCCTCCCCACACTCTCAATAAACAGCCCCTACACATGCACACAAACACACATGGGCCCCATAGATGATTTATGATGTTCCTCCACCACAAATTATACCAGTTTGATTTCAGATTACACACTTTAATGTGCACCTCTCTGGAGCTTACTTACACAGGTTATGGAGATGAGGACTTCTGATGCTCCGATGCCCAGAGTGACATAACGGATCTTGTCCACTGGAATACCCGCTTCCAAAAAGATGTTGAAAGAGAAGACGGTGATCTGTGAGCAAGAAGGGAAGAAGATCACAATATTTAGTATATAGGTTGTTCTGTAAGGATGTCTTAGATACTTTTTGACAACACAATGACATAAGGCACATTTCTATTTAGAAGCATAATTTGGTGTTTTGACAATAAATGCTAAATGATTTACAGCAGAGATGCCGCTGAACTGGATGCATCCGTTTATGACCAGCATGGAAAGGACCTGCCAGTGCAGGTGCTTGTCTCTCAGCAGATCCAGCACACTCTTGTTGTGCTCCTCTCCAATGACTGCCTGTTCTGCTAACATCTCCTCTATCTCCAACTTATAATCGCCTGGTCCCCACAGACACTGCAGTGCTGCCGATCAAAACGTGAATACGTGATTTAAAACAAAAGACGTTTGCAATGACATACAGAGGTTGATCAGTTACTGTAAATGTAATGCACCTTTTCTGCACTGTTGAGTGTTGCCTTTCTCTATCAGAATATATCGTGGAGCATCAGGGAAGAATGGCAAGATTGCCAGCTGGACCACACAAAAAAATGCTGGGATGCATAGAAGAATGTTCCAGCACTCTTCACGGCCAAGAATTTCCCTGTGAATAAAATTAGAAACTTAGCTCAATTCAAAGAAATATTGAGTATCAAAACATTCCTTTCCTGAAGCCAGATCTATTAAAGACAGATGAATCAAACATAAATGGTGGCATTGAATTAAAAGTTTGGAATAATTCTGGGGTTTTTTATGTTTTTGAAAGAGGTCTCTAGTTCTCCAAGACTGCATTTATTTGATCAAAAATACAGTAAACATTGCGAAATATTATACAATTCAAAATAAATGTTTAATGTAATATATTTTAAAATGTAATGTATTCCTGTGATAGCAAAGGTGAATTTTCAGTCTTCAGTGTCGCATGATCCTTCAGAAATCATTATAATATGCTGCTTTGATACTTATAAGTTGTTGTCAGTTATTTTTGGTGCTCGATTATTAATAATTATTCTTACTGCCATCAATGTTTTTGGTGCTTAATATATTTGTAAAAATCATATATATATATATACGTATATATATAATTGATAAAATGTAACTTTTAAAATATAACTTTTCTTTGATGAAAAGTTAAAAGAACAGCATTTAATTACAACATAAATATTTTGTAATATTATAAATGTCTTGACTATCACTTTGGTCAATTTAATATGTCCCTGCTATAAAGTATTACTTTTTAAAAATATCTTACCCCAAACATTTAAATGGTAATGTATCACGGTTTCCACAAACATATTAAGCACCAGTTTTCAACATTGATAATAATAGGAAATCTTTGTTATTAGACATTTTAATAAGACAGACTTTTGGCGGGTGGTGTATTTATCTAAGGCATGTTAATGATAATAGCGTAAACATTATTTTTTTTTTTTGACCGTGTAATTCTTAATCAAAGAACACAGCTCTCCTAGTGAAAGACTGGCTTTTTTTTGGGGTCCGTATGCTTAAACCTGCCCTTTTCATATAATTGACTGCAAGCTTGATTCAGATGTCCAATCAATTCAATGCCCAAGCTTTAATACTTAATTATTACCTGAGGCCAGCAAATTGTCCTAATAGTTTACCAAGGGACATAAAGGTAGTGGCTGTGACTGTCACCATGCCTCTGATTTTTTTCGGTGAACTCTCACCAAGGTAGATGGTATGTACATTCAAACCCAACCCTTTGAACAAAGAGCAAATCACATCATATATATATATAATCACAACTTTTATATATAATTTATTTACAATCTAATGCACATACCTGCTCCGAATCCAAATAGGAAGCGTGCTACAAGTATCAACTCGAAGGAGTGTGTAGGTTTGCTAATGTACATGATTACTGTGGCCACAACTGCTATAGCACTATTCAACAGCATGGCTCCTTTTCTGCAAGAAGAACTTATACAGTAAATGAACATCCATTTTTGTTGTGAAAACATTAAAAGGAAGAATAGGGAAAGCAGATGAGGATGGGTGAGATTAACCTTCCCAGGTGACTGGTAAAGTATCTGACAGTAATGGAGCCAATGAGACCTCCAAAAGCGTATAGAGCCACCACAGTAGACCAGATAAAGGTGACAGTCTTCTCTCCTGGAACATCCCCGTAGTGATACGTCCAGCTGCTGTTAATAAAGCTCTGAATGTACTGTGGGAAAACAGATAACAGATTGGAGACTAATCGTCATGGATTGATTCATACCTAGATTTTAAGTATGATACACTGAACTGATACTTAAATGGCCTTCTGGTAACACTTTATTTTACAGTGTCCTTGTTACATATGTTACATGTACTTACTATAGTAATAGTAACAGTAAATTTTGCATAATTACAATTAACTAAAAAAAAAACTAACTCTACAGTAAGTACACTCTTAATAATAAAGGTTCTTTATTAGGTTCTATGATTCCATGAAGAACATTTAACATCCACTGAACCTTTTGATTGCACAAAAGGATATTTATAGTGGAAAAAAGTTTCTTTAGATTCCTGAAATATTCTTCACACTTGGAAAAAAAAAAGGTTCTTTCAAGGTTCTTTGGGAAACCACAAATGTGCCTCTATGGCAATCAGGGAAGAATGGCAAGATTGCCAGCTGGACCACACAAAAAAACGCTGGGATGCATAGAAGAATGTTCCAGCACTCTTCACGGCCAAGAATTTCCCTGTGAATAAAATTAGAAACTTAGCTCAATTCAAAGAAATATTGAGTATCAAAACATTCCTTTCCTGAAGCCAGATCTATTAAAGACAGATGAATCAAACATAAATGGTGGCATTGAATTAAAAGTTTGGAATAATTTTTTTTTTTTTAATGTTTTTGAAAGAGGTCTCCAAGTCTGCATTTATTTGATCAAAAATACAGTAAACATTGCGGAATATTACACAATTCAAAATAAATGTTTAATGTAATATATTTTAAAATGTAATGTATTCCTGTGATAGCAAATGTGAATTTTCAGTCTTCAGTGTCACATGATCCTTCAGAAATCATTCTAATATGCTGCTTTGATACTTATAAATTGTTGTCAGTTATTTTTGGTGCTCGATTATTAATAATTATTCTTACTGCCATCAATGTTTTTGGTGCTTAACATATTTGTAAAAATCATATATATATATATATATATATATGGACCCCAAAAATGATCATCAAATATTTTCAAAGACAGCTATATATATATATATATATATATATTATTTTTATTTTTTTTAATGACTAAAATGTAACTTTTAAAACTGAACTTTTCTTTGATGAAGAATACTGTTACTATATATATATATATATATATAGCTGTCTTTGAAAATATAGGATGATCATTTTTGGGGTCCGTGGCATAAAAGATCGAAAACCCTGAAACCCCCAATATAACATACAACCAGATGAGGGCAGTGTTATTATTTTTGTTACGTTGTTTGACTTTGTTAGACTGTGTTTTCCCCGCGTCGTTGTCTCGAGCAAGAGGAAGTGAATTCACCTTTTTTTTTGTTTAGATTTCCCCGTAGTCATCGTTGTCACTCCGAGTCAAAACCTAGACTCCCGTCCTTCTCTGGATCTCTTTTAACTCTGCAAATATGCCTTTGGAAAACCTGGAGGAAGAGGGTTTACCTAAAAACCCCAATCTGAGGATAGCTCAGCTGAAGTTTTCGCTGACTCTGAATGATCACAGACAGGATGCTAAAGTGAGGAGCGAGCTAATGGACGCCATCAAACTCAACAGTGAGTTCATTCACTCACACATGCTGCTCGTTTAGCAGATATATGTCTACGTTTCTGTACCACTGCAGGGACGTTATATGCACGAGCTTTGTAATGTCCCTGCCTCTTGAGGTTTCGTTAGCTGACAGGCTAAACCAAGTAGCACACTAGCTCATTAGCTGCTAATGTGTTTGGTTGTTTTCAGCTACACATTTCGTCTTCTGGCACTTTTGAATGTCCATTGTTAGTTTTCTTAATTGCTTTAGTATAATATAGTGTAAACCTGGGACCGTTGTCACAGTTTACGTTTATTCTTGAAAGCAGTGTTGGGTAAGTTACTCTAAAAAAGCAATTAATCACATCTTCAACAGTGTAATTAGATTACAGTACAAATCACTCTCTCCAAAAAGTATTGCATTACTTATTTCTAATTGCTTTCTAAATCCTATGTCAACCTCGACAAGTTAATGATACAATGATTTTTAATACTTTTAATTATTTCACGTAACTACATAATTCTGGTCACACTTTAGATTAGCGTCAAGTTCTCACTATTAACTGACCTTTGCCTCAAAATACTCCTACTTACTGCTTATTAATACTTAGTAAAGTAGTTGTAAAGTTTAAGATTTGGGTAGGATTAAGGATTTAGAATAAGGGCTTGCAGAACAAGACATTAATATGTGCTTTTTAATTAATAATAAACAGCCAATATCTAGTAATATTCATGGTAATAACCAACTAGTCAATAGTGAGAATTGGACACTGAAGTGTTGCCAATATTCTTATTAAATCACCAGTGTCCACATTCACCTCATATGAGCTTATGGACTACAAGACATTCGTCACGTACACTGTGTATGTGTGTATGATCGCACTCAAGAGGCCGGACCTGAGAGAGAAGGTGAGATCTAGCCTAAAAAAAAACAGTGTATGTACAATTGATGTTAGATGTTTTTTTTTTTTTTGGAAATAAATGTATTCTCTTATTCAATAAGGATACATAAAATTGATCAAAAGTGACAGTAAAGATAAGATTTAAATTAATTGCTGTACTTTCTATTCATCAAAGAATTAAAAAAGTTTTGCACACAATATAAAGAGTAGGGTTGGGTACCGAACTCGGTACTTTTAAGGGTACCGACCGAATTGCGTCGGTACTACCGAGTACCAATTCACGTTAAATCAATCGGTGCCACATTTCGGTACCCGAGAACGCATCTGGGCGCATACGCTACAGAGAGAAAGAGACCCTGTGATGTGAGGTCACCCCTGCAACTCGTTCAAACAACACACAGGGCAAGCCGAAATGTTCTGAAGTGTGGTTACATTTCTAGGGCCATATGGTTTCTGCGAAAATGAGTCCATTCATAAAAACGTAATTTACTCTATAGCGCGGAATGCCACGGAATTTGCCAATTTTGGATGAATAAAGCAAAAGTAGCCACTGCCACTTAATTCGAATCGCGATATGAACTAGTGTCTGTGAATATTAAAATGCAAAAAGACGGTTTAAATATGAATCCTGCATGTTCCGCTTGCCTCTGTATGTATGAATGTGCGGAAACACAGTTTTGTTTACTACACAAATACTGAAGCACGCGTGACGCTCGCGGTGATTTCCGGCCTCTGCGTCTCACTATAGACCAATTTGGATTAGACGTCACAGTTACGTCACTTGCAGCTGCGCGCGCATAGTAGTGGCAGAAAAACACTGGGAACAAGTGGAGGGAAATGGGTAAAATCCATGTAATAAGAGAACATTTTTATTGTTGTGCCTTTGGATGTCAGAATCGGAATGCAAAAATTTTTATATAACACTGTCGTCAAAAACGCCATTTGAAGCTAAACACAGATGTTTAAACGGACAGACTATGGATGAAACCTGCTATGATTACCCTACTTTTAAAGCATAAATTTGATTTAAACAATAGGTCTATATAATATTCATATAGGGGGCATATTGTATTAGCCCTACAGTTGAAATACATTATCTCACAGAAGTGAATACACCCCTCACATTTTTGTAAATATTTTAATATATCTTTTCATGTGACAACACTGAAGAAATGACACTTTGCTACAATGTAAAGTAGTGAGTGTACAGCTTGTATAACAGTGTAAATTTGCAGTCCCCTCAAAATAACTCAACACACAGCCTGGAAGGTACCCAACCCTACATAGGAGATATATTAAAAATATGAAAAGAAAAATAATATTTTTCGTGCCTTCAAAATAAAAAAAAATAAAAAAAAAAGAATTCTTAAAGGGATAGTTCACCTTCAGTTGCTGGTTCCCATTGCCTTACATGAAAAAAAAACACTATGCAAGTCAATGGGTACCAACAACTGAAGGTGAACTATCCTTTTAATTTTAAAAATTAAGAGATCAATTGAATTAAATAATCACTGTTAATGTCATGATTTTAGATCAGTCATTAGAAAGCACAATGAAACAGGAATATGTCTAAATGTTTTCAAAATCATTGTTAAAACATCATTAAAAAGTTAACTTTGACAGACCTAAATATACATTTTACATCGTCTCCTCATTTACCTTCTATCACCCCCTTAAAGGAACACGCCACTATTTTTGAAACACTATGCAAGTCAATGGGTACCAACAACTGAAGGTGAACTATCCTTTTAATTTTAAAAATTAAGAGATCAATTGAATTAAATAATCACTGTTAATGTCATGATTTTAGATCTGTCATTAGAAAGCACAATGAAACAGGAATATGTCTAAATGTTTTCAAAATCATTGTTAAAACATCATTAAAAAGTTAACTTTGAAAGACCTAAATATACATTTTACATCGTCTCCTCATTTACCTTCTATCACCCCCTTAAAGGAACACGCCACTATTTTTGAAAATAGGCTCATTTTCAAACTCCCCTAGAGTTAAACCGTTGAGTTTTACCGTTTTCGAATCCATTCAGCCGATCTCCGGGTCTGGCGGTAGCACTTTTAGCTGTAGCTTAGCATAGATCATTTATCTGATTAGGCCGTGAAACTCAACTGTTTAACTCTAGGGGAGTTGGAAAATAAGCCTTTTCTCAAAAATAGTGGAGTGTTCCTTTAAGGCTGCAGGACCACCGTTTGAAAACTCCTGCTTTATTGAATCATATCTAGAAGTTTATATTTAATGCATTTTGCAGACACTCTTATTGAGAGCAACACAAAAAGTTGTCTGCTAGGAAAGGACTTCCTGTATGTTATATTGGCAAAAAAAATGAACCTAATAAAAACAATTGATTCTTAATAGTAATAGCTTAATGCATGAAATGATCAAATCTCTTGTCTTCTCTCAGGTAATTAAGGGTGCTGAGATCTTGGAGGTGTTGCACAGTTTACCTGCTGTCCGTCAGTACCTCTTCTCTCTCTACGAGTGCCGTTATTCTGTATTCTTTCAGTCATTAGGTAAGTGAAATATTGGCACAGCAGACTTTAAAGAACAATTGAGGAAACTATGTTATTGCTTAACTAGCCACGCTCTGTTTTAAGATTAATGTTGTAAGCTATGTTATTTATTTGCCATGTTTATTGAACGTACTTCTGTAAGTCTGCTGGTCTGTTATTGTTTAAAATGTTTTGGTCAGAGTTTCCATCTGTTTCTCTGCTGTAGCTCGAGTGGAACAGGAGATGAAGCAAGACTGGTTGTTTGCTCCTCATTACCGTTACTATGTCCGAGAGATGCGCATCCTGGCCTACAGCCAGCTCCTGGAATCCTACCGCTCTCTAACGCTGGGATACTTCTTTCAGTCATTAGGTAAGTGAAATATTGGCACAGCAGACTTTAAAGAACAATTGAGGAAACTATGTTATTGCTTATTTATTTGCCATGTTTATTGAACGTACTTCTGTAAGTCTGCTGGTCTGTTATTGTTTAAAATGTTTTGGTCAGAGTTTCCATCTGTTTCTCTTCTGTAGCTCGAGTGGAACAGGAGATGAAGCAAGACTGGTTGTTTGCTCCTCATTACCGTTACTATGTCCGAGAGATGCGCATCCTGGCCTACAGCCAGCTCCTGGAATCCTACCGCTCTCTAACGCTGGGATACATGGCCGAAGCGTTTGGAGTCAGCACAGAGTTCATCGACCAGTACGCTCCCATGGTCATATAAACAACTATGTAAACGTTCATTATTTTATGCTCACTTTGGTCTTTTTCTTTCTCAAGGGAGCTGTCGCGATTTATCGCTGCAGGACGTTTACATTGCAAGATCGACAAAGTCAATGAGATTGTGGAAACCAACAGGTGAGGACCTTAATGTTTGTGTGGATTAGTCATTTAAATCTCTGTTGGTTATCGTTAGCTAAATGCATTTCTTGTCTTTTTTTTTTTTTCCCCCACAGACCTGATAGTAAGAACTGGCAGTACCAGGAAACCATAAAGAAGGGCGATCTCCTGCTGAACAGAGTGCAGAAGCTGTCCAGAGTGATCAACATGTAGTCCAGCACATGACGTTTGATCAATACTCGTCTTTTCTTGTGAACATGACTTGTTTTATGTACAGAATATAATAAAACTGAATTGGAGGAAACATTTGAGTTTGTCTTTGGTGTGCGAGCAACTGGAAAAAAAAACTGAGGCAGACACATTTTTCTTATAAATAACTGTATAAATTATTTTTTTTTATATATTTACAGAAACTTGTTACAAAACAAATATACTATACAATCTTTAAATATTACATGACGTTTGATCAATACTCGTCTTTTCTTGAGAACATGACTTGTTTTATGTACAGAATATAATAAAACTGAATTGGAGGAAACATTTGAGTTTGTCTTTGGTGTGCGAGCAACTGGAAAAAAAAAACTGAGGCAGACACATTTTTCTTATAAATAACTGTATAAATTATTTTTTTTATATATTTACAGAAACTTGTTACAAAACAAATATACTATACAATCTTTAAATATTAAGTAAATCTACCCTACTGTTTGTTCATGAATTACATAGCAGCCAACACACAAAAGTCCAGCTGATCAAATGATTTTTGAATATGTATACAAAAAAAGACAGAAAAAAAAATCAAAATATACACACTTGTACACAACTTTATATGTAGAGGCTTCTTCCCCAAAAAGCAAACTGCGTTTATCATCTTCGATTCACATTCCAGATCTGTGGTTTTTAATCAAACATCTTCACAAAGCTTTCAACATCTGAAAACAGTGGAGTTACAATTTCAAGGTAAACAGTACATTTATCTGCCTAAAACATTGGTTGAAATCACAGACGTAGCCACAAAAATATCTATCCCCCTCGCTTTGAAAATTTCTATCAAAAGTAGTCATAAAAGAATACAAGAGACAGATAAGAAGCTTTTCTCATGTCATTGTCAAGTAAGTGTTACTCCTCTGCCATGCATTTCATCAATCAGAGTTACCGCTCTACTTGAAGGGGAAAAGGGCGATGTGTGAGATTGCTAGGCAGGTTTAAAAAGTTTCTAAACCCTTATATAACATTCAAGTACTGTGAAAAAAAGAATACATGAAATAAAAAGCTCTGCCATAACAACAGTTGATGAGAAACTAATTCAGGCACTTTCTCTTTTTTTGTCAGCGTTAAAAGCAAATGAACAAGTAATTAAAAAGCAGTGTATCCAATTACAACGTTTGGCAACAGTGGTGCACATTTTGCACTGTACAACGGTTTTGTTCCCTCACCCAGTTAGAAAAGTCCTACAAAATACATCAGCCAGCCAGAAAACTTTTGCACAGTTAAACGGGCCATTTTGATCACATTCTCTGATCTCGTGGTTCGAGATGGGGAGGCATCACGAGCGAAAAGAAGCACTATTAACACCTAGAAAACAATATAGTATACGGTGGATGGTTTCCCACTACTGTGGCAACAATCTGTCTGGGGGAACTCGGCATGCGACTAACAAGAAGCTGTGTTCGGATAGAGTGGCGTATTGCATTATCGGCTTGGCAGTGAACCACTTCTAATAATCTTAGAATGTTTCCATTTACTAAATAAATAATAATGATCTCAACTGTACCAAAAATCGTTTACGAAAATGCCAGTGCAAAAATACATCTCCATATGTACAATTCTTTAACAAAATATGTATTCTGAAATAGGGATACTTCAATATTTGAATTCGGTTTCGTGTACGAAAAAGCAGAAGGGAAAAAAAATACACAAGAAAAAAAAAAACCATGCTCTACTTCTCAGCAACCATTGCTGACTGACATCAGTGGAGTTCAGTAATTTACAGAAGTTTTAAAGAGAAGCCCCAACTTACACAACAAAATCCACCTCAAGATCTCTTATGAAGATTAATTAGCCAAAGAAGGATCTATTGCGTTTAAGTTGACAGATTTAAATCAGAATGTCTAGCTACTAACCTCTTTAGGGTCACAAAGAACAAAAGCTTGTGTGGGATCAATGCAGGAACGTTCAGTCGCAGTACAAGGTAGTGGTTATTGGATGAGATGGTGCTGGCCAGACTACTGTTTATGTGTCTCACAGTATTGGGAGTTGTGTAGATGTCTACTCCATTGCTGAGATGATAGTGTGTCTGTCATGTTGGTCTAAGGCTCAACGTCATCTAGCCACAAGCCCCTTTCTGAGATTGAAACGGCACATAACGATACCATGCCTAAGACATCTTCACCAGGAAACTCTCCTACAATCATTTGAGCGAGACTGCAGATTTTAGTACATTAAGATTTCAGCACATGCTTCTTTAGTGCTACGATGGGTAACTGGAGGAGGTGAAACGTCACCTGCCGTCTCTCATTTTGCTCCGACTGGAGCAATTTTTGCATGTGCTAAAAGGTTCACTGAATCAAGCCCTTAATGTACCTAAAATATCTGTGTTGTCCAAGGCATGTTTTTTAAGAGGATTACAGTGTTTTCTGGAGCTTCAAGAGACGACTGTTGCTCAGGATTCAGTAAAGACATGCTAGGCTACTAGCATGTCTAAAACAAACAAAAAAAAAACTAGTGTTAGCTAATGCAAGGTATTTGATTTGGGGTTGGATTTTTTTGTAAAAAAATAAATTGCAATAAATCAGCCTAAAAGAACTCTCTTTTAGCTTCTCTGAAAGAAGTTAAAAAAAAAATCCCCTTGAAATAAAACAATCAAATCTAAATGAAAACTTTTCAAAAATAAATGGAAAATGGTATACGATAAATATTTTGTTCTGTTTGCTATACATTTGCTAACCTGTAAACAAAATGTGGTCTAAAAAAATGTATAGTTTGCATAATCTTTAAGTTTAGGTTGCTCATGTTGAAACTCCACTCCTGTCATGTCTATCTGCAGTGAGTGTAGCTCAATCTAATACAGCCTTCCAGTGAGAGATCATGTGTATGACTAACTTAAGTTGACTGTGTGTCTACTTTAGGGATGTTCCTCTCCTGTACACTTCCTCCAAGGCGGAGTAGGATTACAGTTTCCAGTATGTCCAGTATGTCCACACCTTCAAGCTAACATACCGAAGAATATCGGTAAAGCAACTCATCTTGTTCACGTCACACATCCCTTCCATGCTTGGTAGTGTTGGCGAGGCTACGCACCAGCCCAAATCTGTACCTTCCGACCCCAGCGCAAGTGCTCAGGCTGGGCAGCTCATGATCTACGAAGCAGGCTTTGTACCCAATGGTGCATTGTATAGATTCATTATAACCTCCGACAGGAGAACTATATCTCTCTGGCTTATTATCCTATCCCCGGAGAGTGCCCCTGCATGGCTTTGGGAGGAAATCCTCACGAAGGACATCAATGGGCCACCCAGTGTGCATTCCACCCTGAGGATTGTGGGAAGAGTAAGAGAAAAAGAAGGCCTCGTGCAGAGTGACATGAGGGGGCTGAGGGAGCTCTGGGTCCAGCCTACTGCTCAGCATGCTCAGAGCCTCCTCACCTGTGTCAGGGACGAGCCTTTGGCTGTGGGAAACACACACACAAGTATGGAAATGTAATGTCTAAGAGGAAAGAGATGATATTACATTCTAAACTAAAACGAGGAAGGAAAACAAACTAACCTGATGTATGTGTGAATTGTTAGGGAGCCCTGGTGGTCCAGGTATAGAGCGAGCGTGCTTGCTGTGGATGTTGTTGATTGATGGAGACTTGGCCATTTTGGGCCTGCCAGGACCTTGTCCTCCTCCCCCTCCTGCTCCAGACACTGTCAAAGTCATTACAAAATCTGAATAAGAGACAGCACTATGAAATCAAGCAAACGGCATATAATAATATCAAGTCTACAAGTGATTTTGGGATCATAGTGTTTTAGGACTTATATAACGATGAGAATGCAGAAAAAAGTGAGATTGATCAGTCTGACAGTTCTGTATGATCCCTGTTCAATTTTGAAGTAAACTTTGAAGAGTGGTGAAGTGTAAAAAAAACTTGAACAGAACTAAACTGAAATGAAACAATAGCAAAATTGTAACCTGAAATGAAAAAGCAACCGATCAAAGTAAAACTTTAAAACTGGAACAAAACTAAACCAAGATGAAACAGAATTGATACTAATGTGAAATGTCACAGAAACCAGATCACAACTGAACAGAAATAGAATAGAAATAGAAACTAGATTATTACTAAAAAGACATTAGACAATGAAAAAAGGATTGAAGCCAATTTGAGATTAAATAGAAATTTAGATTGAAACTAAACTGAAATGAAACGGCTAAATTAAATTAACTGAAATAAAATAGAAAATGGATAAAAACTAAAAAGGCATTAGACAGTCTGGATTAAAACGAAACAAAAACCAGATCAAAGAAATTTATTTGAATCTAAAACTGGATTAACACCAAAGTGAAACAGAAATCGGATCAAAACTAAAATCTGATTAAAAATAACGGGATTAAAACTAAACTGAAATAAATCAGAAACCAAATTAAATCTAACTGGAAGGAAACAGAAACTGGATTAATACTAAAATGAAGTGAAATCAAAACTAGATCAAAACTAAACTAAGATGAAACAGAAATGGGGTTGATACTAATGTGAAATGACACAGAAACCAGATCACAACTAAATTGAAATATAATAGAAATAAAAAATAGAATATTACTAAAATGACATTAGACACAATGGGAAAAAAAATGACTGAAGCCAAATTGAGAAGAAATAGCAATTTAGATTGAGATGACTGAAATGAAGCAGAGAGCAAAATTAAATGAACTGAAATTAAATAGAAAATGGATAAATACTAAAGAAGCATTAGACAGTCTGGATAAAAACTAAAAAGAAACCGGATCAAAGAAATTCATTTGAATCTAAAACTGGATTAACACTAAAGTAAACTGAAATAAAACAGAAACCAAATTAAATCTACCTGTAATAAAACAGAAACTGAAATAGAAACTGGATGAAAACTAAAAGATGAAAAAGAAACAGGATTGATATACTAATGTGAAATGACGCAGAAACCAGATCAAAACTAAACTGAGATTAAACATAATGGGATTAAAACTAAATTTTAAATTAAAACAGAAACCAAATTAAAAGTGGAATGAAACAGAAACTGGATTAATACTTAAATGACATACAGAAATCTGGATTAAAACTTGAAAAGTAAACAGAAACTTTATCAAACAAACTTATTTGAATCCAAAATGTAAACAAATAAATAAATAAATAAACTGAAATGAATAAAAACTGCATTTAAAACTAAACTGAAATGAAAAAGAACCTGGATTAATACTAAAATGACAGAGTACTGATTAGAACTAAACTGAAATTAAACAAACTGGACTGAAACCAAAATATGATTAAACAGAAACCAGATTAAAACTAACTGAA